CAGGGGCTTCGCCAACAGCACCGCATGCACCGCCCGAAAGATGTCTGGCCAGTTCCCAAAGACTTCACAGAGATGCAGTAGATGCCCAAGAGCAGCCAAAGCCCCATGAGATACATAAGCCCAATGACGAGGCCTAAATCGATCGGCCCCTAGGGCTGTGCGTCGCGGAAATTGATGCGCAGCAGCGCGTGGTTGGGATATCTGGAGTGGCGGGGGCCTAGGGCCATTCTCGCAGAGGTGCCTCAACTCCTGGGCGTTATCCCCAGATAACCCTTCCTGGAAGAGGCTCCTGCAGAGAGCGGGGTCCTCATGATCCTGAGCTCCCCAGATGTTTGCACAGGATACCCGCTGAGATTCGACGACGTCTCCTGGCAAGATAGATGACCCGAGGGAAGTATCCACCTGGGAGAGGAGCCACCCGCGAGGCTGGGTCCAACGATGGAGAGGTCCAGGCTGCGACGTAAGCCTGGTCCGAACCCATCGACGAAAGACATGCGACCAAGCTGAGGCCAGTCTGCGTTCCCCCTGTTCCGCCAGTCGACTGAGGTAGAGCCCTGCGAATCGGAGGCGGTGGTCCCAGAAGTGTTGAGGCCCCCGAAACGTTGAGGCCAGCAAATGGACCACTATGGCGCACACCTCGTGTGGTATTACCTTACGCAATCGGCCATCCCGACGACGAGCCTCACTGAAGTCCTGTAGAAAAGACCAGGCCCGATCAAAGGCAACCGCCCCTCGAGGAATGGCAAGACGAACGTCATGCACGCGGGGCCCAGGGAATCTGAGCGCCCGAGAATAAGAGGTGCCCGAAGGTTGATACCTAGCGAGGGCCCCACCTGTCGTCGACTGCCGATACTTAGGGCCTGCTGCACGGCCCAAGTACGTAGGTGCCTCAGTAGCTTCCGTGCAACAGATAAGCGCGAGCTCAGCCTCGACGCCATCATACAACTGTCGACGGAGAGCGGCAAGCCGATCATAATGGACACGGGGGTCACCAGACTTCTGCGCTGCATCATCGCGCATGAAATGCTCCCAAGAAATAACTGGTGCACCCCGTGGGACCTCGAAGGTGATCTCCCCATCCTCATCGCGCTCCTCGCAATCCTTCATCTCCTTGACGACAGGGGAGGGCGGGCAAAGGCTGTGGTCCTGCCAGCACTGTGACTGCGTGCGCGCGGACACCGCCCTGCAGCTTGACCATGATGGCATAGTGGTTCCTGGGCGGGAATTCCTCGACTCGGCGCGGCTCACTGAGCGCAGCAGCAATCGCGTCAGAGGCCATCCAGTAATCAAGAGTGGTCTCCCGACCTGTCTTGGGATCTCTATAGGCGCCTTGCTCACATGCTGTCGAACGGCCACGAAGTCTGTCGCATAGACCACTATCACTCAAATCTGACGGTGACATATTCCAGTCGGCTGCCTGCATGTACGGCAGCCTGTGATATGATAGAAATTCTCCCACCGCAGCAGCCTTGTCATAATTGTGACTCGAAGGGCCCAATCCTTGCCCCGTGAACAGCGCCACAGCGAGGAACCCGTGCCTGGGTCCCGCATGAATGTGAACTGCAACGCAGAGGCCTGGAATGATATCATGTGAGGCCGTACCAGCAGGCGCTGTCACACCAACGTGAGAACGCACAAATATACCCACGCCGCCCTTCGAAGATCGAGCCTCCACTGGCAGTGCCGCACTCATGAAAAGGTTTCCAACCATTAGCCGCGGCCCACTCCTGGGCCCTTCAAAGAGCATCACCGCGCAGTTTGTGATCCTGAATCATGACAAGAGTAGCCGCACCAACGGAAGCAAGAAAGTCCTTTGCCTGTGGCCAGCCGCTGGAGTTGAAGGTGACGATTTTGATACCTTTGTTGGCCTTGGCCGAGGCAGCAACACCTTTCTTGGCTCGCCTCCATGGTCGGCGCCCAACCACGGACAGGGGACGGGCCACGTCAGGAGGAGGATGCATCCGCACAGGAGCAACACCAGCATCACCAACCTGCGGGAGTGAGTCAGGTGGCTCCTCCTGACTAACCATTTCATCGGGAAGGCGTACCTCTGGTGGACGAAGCGCAGGCCCATCTTCCGCATCTCCCTGTCTGTTGACGACCTGGACAGTCGGAGAGCTCGCCGTAGGGCGGTAACTGAAAGCTGCAGACTGAGTCGGCAAGCCGTACGTATAGAGGATGTTCGTTGGCTCAACTGGTACATGCTCCAGGTCCACTTCCGAAGCCGCACCAGGTGTCAAAGCTGCAAGGTCACGCATGCCGTCTGGGTCGCCACCGGCTTGGTACACATGCCACATAGAAGAAGAAACCGTCGTATCGGTTGGTGTTTCTACCAGCCTCCCTGGAACCCCACCTTCATAAGGTGCTTGGTAGCCGCCGGCACCTGAGGTGGTTATAGGCCCCTGCTGCTGAAGAGAATCACTATTGACTGAAGAATAGGTGTACCTCGGCTGGCCGTCGAAGACGATGTCAATGCCGAAGCGAGCAAACGTCATGCAGCTCAGGTCGCTAGCCAGGCGGACCTTCCCCCGCGGGTCGCTGCTGCACGCTGCTGGCCAATTGCGGGAGTGGAAGGGGCTGCAACATCTTGTTCGAGAGCATCGTCCCAGGGGTGGACTCCTCCTGGCACGCCTCCAGCACGATCATGAGCAGGAGGAGCGGGCGGCGGCACGTCCTGGCCAGCCGCGAGCCGCCCCTGCGCTGCCAGAGCCCTCTGCAAGGCGGCCATGTGGGTGGTGAGCGAGTCTAGCATGGTGGCTGCATTGCCAGCCCCGACGGCAGCAGGCGCGGCTGCCACCACTCCCTGTAGGCGCCCAAACGCTTGCTCGAGCTCGAGGGCATCTGGTCCTGCAGGCGGGGCCTGCCCTGCTGCCATGACTGCCGCACGTGCCGTCGCGACCTCCAGCTGGATGCTGGCGAGCTCCTGGGCTGCAGTCTCCAACTCCGCCTGCTTGGTGCACAGGTCGTCGCTGAGCGTCTTGACATGACTGGCAAGTGTATCATGTTCTTTTTGCTTCGCAGCCAGGCGATCCAGAGCACGACGAAGCATGCCATCTGGTGTGAGGGTCGAGCGCTGCCGTTGCTCAGCCTCTGCCAGCTGCTTGCGCGCGCTGCGGACAAGGTCCGACTGCTCATCGAGCTGCAGCCGACGCAGGGCTGCCAATGCACGGCGGGCGGTGGTGACCTCATCCACCTCTGCTTGGGCAGGCTGTGGCCCACCTGTGTCATCACTGGCTGCTGCACTGCATCGTCCCGCTGACGAGGAACGCTGGCGACGGGCTCCAGGCGGGGTGGCACCACTTGGATCTGGCCTCCCCTGCTTGTCCCGCCCGCAAGCCCAGCACCGAGGATTATTAAGATAATTGCGCATGAAACCGCATTGACGAGTGGCAACGCATGCCCATCTCCCCGACGGTGTGTGACTCTTGGCCTCATCATCTCGAGTGCGAGCAGCACCTTTGCCCATAGAGCGCGCTTGCGCTCTCGACCCGTGATGTTCGTCCAGGAGCACAGACGCACGGTGGAGCCGCAGGAGGCGCCTTGCTGTGCTGCGCCGCCTCCTCGGGCGTCGGTGCCACCCTGGGGATGGTGACCTCCGACGACAGCACCTCCAGATGGCCGTCCCGGGCAAGGCAAGGCCAACGCGGCCTCCAGCCTCCCGCCCACGGCGCGCCGCCGCCCCGGCGGCCGCGCACGCGCCTGGCGTGAACGCCAGGGGCTGGGGGCTCCTGATCGCGGCGCGCCCCGCCGCGCCCCCGCGGGCAAACGGCTGCAGGGGGCGAAGGGGGGCCGCACAGGAGCCACCTATGAGGAGGAGGAGGAGGAAGAGGAGGAGGAGGAAAAGGAGGAGGAGGAGGCCTAGGGCCTAGCGTCTCAGAGGAAGAGGACGAGGAGCGATGGTGGAGGGAGGAAGCGGGCGAGAGAGCGAGGGAGATGCCCACCCCGCCCTGTCCAGAGAATCGACGAGCCCAAAATTTGCTGGTCCCAGCGCCGGGGCTCACAAGACCCTCCCTGCGCCGCGCGCTCCCGTGGCGCCGACCCCTCGCCAGCCTACGGGATCAGAGATCTCCACGTCGGAGGTCGATCGAGCCTCCGTGCTGAAGGAAGAAGGCCTCCAAAATGGAGAAACGAAACATCCAGAATGACGTCGAACTGCCAGGAGGTTTTCGGTCCTCTGGGCCCCTCAGCGCCGCGCGCAAGGTCGCCCTGGTTCGCCAGAGTCGGTAGGCGGCCCGATGAGGCGAGGGATGGGTCCAGACTCCCTCGGGTCGCGAAAAATGGCGACGGACAATTCTTGGCCATTCTCGGCTCACGGGGGCTTGCCTGGCCCAGGGACGGTAAAAAACCTACGTACTCGGGATGAGGACTGGCCGCTGGGAAAGGGCCAATCAAGCCCTCCAAGAATCCATTTTGTGGCACAAATCACGCCGTCGGGATTCTGATGGGGAACGAAAGTATCTCCAAAGGTCCCTCGAGGCTTCTGGAGCCCAGTGCGTCTAAGAACTCTTTCCTCCTCCGTCCTGTCGTCGCCCGGTTCTTCCTCTTCCCTCTTCCTGCCAGGGGGGAAAAAGCAGATTTCTGCTTCTCCGAACCCTGAGCGGGGCCGGATCGACAGGAAATCTACAAAACAAAAACTGCCACATCGATTCGGTCCCGCGCCGGGTCGGGCGATGTCGAAATCAAAATCGCGCATCGGAATGCCATCGAGTCGAACACTGGGCGATCGCTTCGAACCGGCCCGGCGGAATCGGAAAACGCCCTGAAGGGGCCCAGGGACACACAAATGAATACACACAGATCCCAGGTTTCCCGATATTTTCTCATACTTTCTCGGTTTTTGTCTTCCCCCCCACCTCCCATATTTTCCCATATTTTCTGGGGGATCGACGATTAATTGTGTCTGTGTGTGTTTGTGTGTGTGTGTGTTTTTCCTTCCTGACTATCCTGGGGAAACGGGGGGGGGGGCTCGGGGCCGGCGGCCGTGGCCGCGCCGCCCTGGCCTGCGTGGCGCCCTGGCGGGAGCACTCGCATGCGTGGCGGTAAGAGCGCTTGACGACGCTGGAGAACTGCCGCAAGCTCCTGCGGCGGCGCAGCGGCTGGGCTCGCTGGACGTCGGAAGTCTCGGGGGGGGGACGTAGTCCGTTGGGACATTTTGCTAACCAGGAGCGGGAAGGGGGAGGCGGAGGGGGAGGAGGAGGAGGAACAGGAAGAGGAGGAGGAGGAAAAAAAAGAAAATGAGGAGGACGAGGGAGAGGAGGAGGAGGAGGGAGAGGAGGGAGGAGGAGGAGGAGGAGGAGGAGGAAAAGGAGGACAAGGAGGAGGAGGAGGAGGAGGAGGAGGAAGAAACTAGAAATGAGGACGTAGCGGTGACATGAGTACGTTTCAGCAGCGCGAAGTATAAGGCGGATGGTGTAAAGCGCGTAGAGGGCGGGCACGGCAACTTCCAGCGTCCGTGCCCCAGAGCAAAAGCAGCGGCGGCAAAGGGATACCATTACAACGGGTAAATATGAGAAGGGACATGTGAGCAACTGGTCGAATCTGGTAACTCGAGTCGTGCATATGGTAAAACAATACAAAAGAAGGCTCTACGAACCACCAATTCATAAAACATGCTTGGTCACGAAAAAACGTCTTCACATGGTTCCGACATGTCTCGGAATTGTCAAACTTCAGGTCATAACCGCAAAAACCCTTTCACGGCGCCAGTGGCACGGATGCAATTACTTCTGACAGAGCTCCTGAGACTAGTCAGAGCAGGCGAACTGATCCCCCCACCTGCACGATGCGATAATAATGCAAGAATAGCTGCTAAAGAGCCGTGACCTGCACAAGCACAGTCCGCGCAACCCCACTCACTTGAGTGCTCAACTCGATAATCTCGCACGTTGGTCGCCGCAGGTGTCGACGCACGCGTCCAGCCCAAATGGGCCAATGCGGCTCGTGGACATATACATGCGCATTAACGTACACAGATACAGATACATAGGTGTATATAAATACACATGCATACACATATGCATCTACATCCCCACATACATTTACATACACACATCCATACATTTGCATTTACAAACTTGTATGTGTGTAGATACGTGCATGCATGCATGCATGCATGCATGCATGCATGTATGTATGTATGTATGTATGTATGTATGTATGTATGTATGTATGTATGTATGTATGTATGTATGTATATATATATATATATATATATATATATATATATGCATGCATGCATGCATGTATTATGCATGCATGCATGCATGCATGCATGCATGCATGCATGCATGCATGTATGTATGTATGTATGTATGTATGTATGTATGTATGTATGTATGTACGTATGTACGTATGTACGTATGTACGTATGTACGTATGTACGTATGTACGTATGTACGTATGTGCGTATGTACGTATGTACGTATGTATATGGGTACGTATGCATGTATGTATGTATATATGTGTGTATATATATATATGCCCCCGTCCCCCCCAGCTTTTTACGGCTCAGCCAGAGCAATGTGTTCAGATGAGTGCAGGTGAGCCTGATGCCACATGGGCCCAAGGAGACGCCACGAGCAACCGCCCGCCCCCCGAGCCCGCACCGCCAGCCTTGACCTTACTCCGGGGAGGGCCCCAGACAGGCGGGCTCGGGCGACAAGCACCCCTAGGACAAAATCCCCAGGGCCCGGGAAACACATCAGGGAACCGCAACTCTGAGAAAAAGACCCAGGCAAAGACACGGGAGGTGGCACAAGATGACTATGGAGTCCACGGACGGCTGGCCGTTTATTTGGGCGTTTCCTAGGGCATAAACCACTCGGAGAGAGCACATATGCCCCCGTCCCCCCAGCTTTTTACGGCTCAGCCAGAGCACTGTGTTCAGATGAGTGCAGGTGAGCCTGATGTCACCAGGGCCCAAGGAGACGCCACGAGCAACCGCCCGCCCCCCCTGAGAGGGTAGAGGAAGAGCCCGCACCGCCAGCCTTGACCTTACTCCAGGGAAGGCCCCAGACAGGCGGGCTCGGGCGACAAGCACCCCTAGGACAAAATCCCCAGGGCCCGGGAAACACATCAGGGAATCGCAACTCTTCCATGGACCCCATCTCTGCGCATCGTTTCGATGGGCGACTCCCCCATATCCTCGCCTGGGTAGCTCCCTACTCGCCTACTGTCACACAAGGAGAGGAGGGAGGAAGGATGTCTAAGTGTGTGTCAAGGATATAGAGGGGTTGGTGGAACGGGATCACATTAGGAAGCAAGATGCGAGGCCAATTCTCGCGCATCGGCCTCTTGCTGAGGACTAAGTTGGCAATCTGTTAGTGCTGCCACAGCGTCAACAACATATATGCGAGCAGACCTGGCGCTCGCCCAACGACCTCTGAGAAGCGTTTTCTCTAGAGATCCATGAGATAGAAAATCAGCTGTGGCACCCCCTCTTCTGAACGAGTAGAGGGTGACTTTTTGCTGGCTCAGGCCGAGGGCAGCGACAGCCTGTCGGAACAGGCGGCAAAACTCGCTGCGCGGCGAGCCGAGAAGCAATTCATCGGGCGCCAGCGGCGCCACAAATACTTCACTAGCAAGCGCTCTGCCGCCTGCGAACGGACGACCGCCAGCTCCGAGTGCCCCCTCGCTGGCTGGTCTTTGTCTTCCGCAGCGCCAAGATCGCCACTCCACGCTCTCGGAAGACTCGGACGTCCCGACGCCTGAAGTGCAGCATCTCGCCTGACCTCAGGAAACATGCATATCCTGCCAGGAGCATCGCGGCGGTCCGCCCGTGCCCCCACCAGCAGAAGGCGCCGGCGATGGCGGCTGCACACAGCGGTGACAGCGGCAGGGCGCGCACGTTGGGCTCCAGCCGCAACCACGCCTTCTGAAGCTTCCAGCTCAGCTTCAGTTTGCCGCTCATCCGCGGCGTGAAAAAAAGGGACGGCCGCCAAGGTGTTGTTCACCTGCAGCAGCGAGCCATTGGTGCGCCACACATGCTCGATGTAAGCGGCAACGCCCTCATCAATCTCTTGAACGAGCCTGGGCCGCTTGCCGGTCGCCGCCCAGAACGCCAGCAGCCTGTGCTTGGCGACGACGTATCGCTCCCGCGTGACTGCTGCAACGCGCGAGTCACCTAGCGGCCGAGCTCGCCGCCGCGCTCGCGCCTCGGCTGCCCTGCGTACCAGCACCGCGCGGTCCACGGCGGGGGCGGGTCCTGCGGCAGCCGTCGAACCAGCGGCTCGGGACGTCCGCCGGGTTGTCGTCCGTGTCGATGTACGCGTACATCGGGTAGCAGCCAGTAGCGAGGAGGTAGGCTGCGTGGCCTCGCATCCAGCCCCAGTCGTCTCGCACTGCTCCTGCCCTTGGCCAGGACACTAGCGGCCACCGGCGAATCAAGCAAGTGGAGGTATCTTGATCTGAACCTGGTCGCAGTCCGCGACCTCCACTTGACGGCGTTGACCGCGGCTCCGACCTCCAGCTCATTAATGTGCCCGTCTTCGCGCCAGGGGTAGCCGTGCCCAATCGACCACGTCCACACACTGGTCTGCAGCCCCGATCGAGGCCACGCCTTCGCTCGAAAAGGGGACTGCAAGTCGAGCCGCGCGTCCGTCCCTCCTCGGCTAGCAATGCGCAAGTACTTAAACACCAGCTGCTGCTCAAGTTCCTGGCCCTGTATCTCGGCGGCTTTGAAATCGGGCGCGCGGCCCCGAGCTTCCGGGGCTATCCCCGTCTGCAAGAAGGGCCCGATAGGCGGAGCACCTTGTTCCGCCTCTCGAGCCAAGAGCTGTGCGAGGATGTAGGACACGACTTGAACGGATAATGAGTTGCCGATGAGCGACGACCTGATGATCTCTGTTTCAAGGCTCGGAACGGACTCCTTCACGGCCGCGCGTGTGTACCCGCGGTCGAAGCCCATTAAAGTCTCGCGCTCATCAGCTGAGGGAATCCGCCAGGCAGTACGTCCGGTGTTCCAGAGCAGGTTCTCGTCCTCGAAATTATACACCTGTGAGACGTAGCTAGCCTCCGTCCACCTCGCAATCGCGGTCTCTGACGCTCTCTTGATCCGGACCGCCAGAGCTGGAGGTGACTTCCTTTTCTGCAGCTCGGCGAAGGTGGGCAGCGCATGCTTGGGCTCGAGCAGGCCCCTGCCGCCCTCAGCCCAGGCAGGAAAGTCGGACGGCGACACGTGCAGCTTGACCTTGAAGTACTTCTCCTCGTCAGTGAGGTCGATCACCCCAGCGCCTGCCTGCAGAGCCCACGACAGCCAGTAAAGCGGGGGCCTCCTCACCAGGCCCGCGTCCATCGCCTCGATCCTGTGCGGCGTAACTCCCAGCTGCTGTGAGAACACTGCCAGGTCCTCCGAGCGCATCCCTGCGACGTGCTCCACAAGCCAGCGCGCGCGCTTGATCCCGAACGCCTGCTCTATCGCCTTGAAGGCCCGCGGCAGCTCGAAGAACAGCCCTCTCTTGCTGCCGGAGAGCCCCTGCCCCGCGGCGTTCAGCCCGCTCAGGTCGGTGCACGGGGACCCCGCCGCGATGACGGCGAGGGAGGCCACCTCGCTCGCCACGCGACCCAGCTGAGCCCAGGCCTCTGACGTGACCTTGGTGATGTCGCCAAGCTCGATCACTCCAGGCCACCTCTGCCGCACGCAACGCTTCGCCGCCTTGTCAATCTCCGACGACACGTACATGACAACGCGGCACGGGCACCTCGACAAAGCCACCATGGAGGCCCCAACCCCTCCGATGAGGCCAAAGAGCACGACGGTCGTCCTGCAGCAGCGCCTGCGGTATCCGGGAGCTCATGGCGCCGCGCGGCGTGAAGGCCAAGCCTTCCTCCCCGACTGGCTGGGCAGCAGTCTGGGCACCGTGCTGGGTAAGGCCTGTCGTGTAGCACAAGCCGCCGCCCTCCTCGCTCGCGTCGGTGGCCAGCACGACCGCGTCGAGCAATGCCCGTATGTCAGTGTAGGCCATCGGCAGGAGGCTCACCGCTGAGAGCAGCTCAGCGCGCGCCTCAGCAGGCAGCTTGAACGGCTTCACGAGCGCCTTTCCCGCACTAGCGGTTGCCGCTCTGAGCTCAGGGAGGACCCAGACCTGATTGAGAGTGGCGAACAGCGGCCTCCTGATCTCGAAGGCCCTCGCCAGCCGCCCAAGGACCATAAGGCACGCCTTCGGGGTCACCCACGTCTGCTCCAGGAGCCACAGGGCCATCCGCCCGACGTCCAGCAAGTTCTCAATGGTGACCCCCACGCGCCCAGCGGTGCCGTCCACGAGGGCCCCCATGCGGACCAAACGCCTCTGCCGGCATGCAGCCTGCTTGTCCGCCCATGGGACCCCCGCCTTGCTGTGGGCCTCTCGCTGCCTGAGCTGGTACTCTCCAATCGTGTTCTCGAGCATGGTGGCAACGCTCTCGGGCACAATCTCGGGCGTGTCGAAGTCATCCAGGTAATGCTGCACCCAAGTCTGCCGCTGCTTCCGTGAGAACAGCGGGAGCGGCTGGTCACGCCTCCACTCGCAGGACTCCGCGAACCTGGCGCTGTGCGGCCCGTCTCCGATGCCCAGCCGGCGATGGAGGTGCTGGAACAGGCTCACCGCAGAGAACCACCCCATCGGGATCACGGCAACGGACATGCGGGCCCACTTGAGGTCGGGCCTGCCCACTCGGGCGCCAGGCACCTGCTTCCGCACCGCCATGTAGCCCCGCCACTGCGGCGGCAGCGAGTACAAGTGGAAGGCACCTGACTGGTCATCGGACGACCACAAGAGCCCCTGTCCCTCGCCCAGGACGATGCCTGTCCACGACGAGCTCGGCGTCAGGCTGTCCAGGTCGGTCTCGGCGATGCGCTGGTACGCGTTCTGGGGCACCAGGTTGATGATCAGGCGCGTGACCGTCCAGAAGCCCGTCGCGGCGGCCCCCTTCTTGACGACAGCAAGCGCCCCTGCAAGAACTGGTACCCCGTCGACGCTGAAGATGGCGTCCTCCTCGATTGGCTCGAAGATCCCTACTCGGACGAGGTGCTCGCAAATGCAGTGCCTCTCCTCGTCGCTCGCTACCTGCACTGACGCCTTCGGCACCTCTGTCGGCCACTCTGAAGGGGGCTTTAGCAGGGTCGTCGGGTCGAGGAGCCACTTCTGCACGCGCGGGGCTGCAAGGTCCAGGGCGCTGACAGATCCCGCAAGCCCTGCAGCAAGCAGCCTGGGGAGGAGCTCGCCTAGAACTAACGGGCAGCCTCGCTCGACCTCTTGTCCGGTGTAGGCGAGGGCCTTCGCCTGCACGACCCTGCCCCAGTCCAGCTCCTCGAGCGCGGCGAGCGGCTCCCTGCAGAAGTAGGCCGCGGCCTCGCTGATGAGGCCCAGGGCGGCCCGCTGGGCAAGGCTGGCCGCGCGTGACCAAGGCGCGGGAGATCCGCCCTTCCGCCCCCCAGCCTCGAAGTAGAGCCCGCAGATGATGACCCATTCAAGGCCTTCGCAGCACCCCTTGTAGATCAGCTCGATATCGCGATCGAGCGCCCTGCCGCTCCTGAACATATTCTCCACCACCTGGAAAGACCCCTGCTCCGGCAAGGGCAGCGGGAGGAGGTCCCGACGACGTGCTACCCGCGGATCTGGCTGAGCTGGACCAGAATGGCGGAGAAAGGACCCGAGCTCTCCTGGGCCCCTGCGGCAGGTGTCGACCAACTTCACAATGTGCTCCAGGCGTGTCCTGCTGCGGCTGGCCGCGCCAGAACGCCCTTCACCGCCGAGAGCCTGTGGGGCGGGTGTCGATCCCTCGGCCCCTCGTTGCTGCCCGTCTACCTAGTCTCGGGTCTCGACTGCCTCATCAGCATTGCCATCCTGACGCTGTAGGCTCTCTTCGACTCCTTCTCGTGCCTGGGGTGCTGCGCCTTCAGCTCCTTGTGCGACGGCTCGCCCCCGGGACGGGGCGCCACCGCCTCTTCCGCCAACATCACGCGCCGCGCCGGCTCCTCCCTCTCGCCCCGCGGCGGCTGCGGCGGCGGCGCGACCCCCCGCCCGCCTGGGCGGCCTCGCCCGCCCTTCCCGCGGCCGCGCCGAGGGGCTGGTCGACCGGCTCCGATCGCGGCTGCGGCCACGTGGCGGACCTCGCTCGACGGCGGTGCCGTCGGCGCCGCGGCCAGCCTGGAGAGGGACTCGGGGGTCCCGCTCACTGTCGTGCGCGGGCGGCTCCCGCGGTGGCCTGCAGGAGGGGCCGCCCCCTCGGGCGACCTCTCCCGGCCGAGTCCCTAGAAAGAGCTCTTCTTCAGATGCAGCTTCGCCCTGAGCTCCTCCCTCTTGAGTTCGGCGTGCGCGACCCTCCTGGCCGCAGACTCCTCTGACCTCGAGGCAGCGCATGGCTCGGCATCCATCGGCGCCACGGCAAGCCACTGCGCCGCGTGCCAACCCCCATCCTTGATGGCAAGGGTCCGCGCCTAACTCCTGCATGACCACATCCAGTGCCTGCACGGTCTGTCCCTCCAGAGCCAAATCCAGCGCGCGCGCGAGCGTCCGCAGCAGCCGCACCTCGGCTGCGCCGATGGCCTTCGGCCCGTGTTCGAGGAAGAACACCGTGTCGAGGCAAGCCGTGCAGCGCGCTGGCAGCTCGCCGGGCGACCCCCGCCCCGCGAATTACCTCCTCAGCTGCTCCAACCCGTTCTTGAGCAGCAGTCAAGGCTTCCGGGCGGCCAGCCCGATGAAGTAGTCGTGGCGCACCTTCGCGTCCCGCGACTCCACGTCCATCTCGTGCTCTGAGTCGCCGACCTGCTCGCCATCCGACTCGTGGTCGCCAGACGGGGCCCTCCGCCCCAGCAACCTCTCGCACGGCTGCCGCTCGAACGAGCTCCTCGCCATGCGGTCCCGCGAGGGCCTCCCAGCAGCAGCCCTCTCGGCGGCGCGCGCCGCCAGCACCGTCTGCGCGTCCTGGCTGCTGCGGGCGGCCTGAGGCTCGGCCAAGCGATCCTCGGCGCGGCGACCGCGAGGCGTCGGCAGGGCAGCGCGAGCACGTCCTGCGCCCAGCGGGCCAGGCAGCGGCAGCAGCTCCCGTGCGCGGCGAGCCCCGGCAGGCGGCCGCGGCTGCTCCACGAGGACGTGCGACACCTCCTCGCTGCCTTCTTCGTCGTCGGTCGGCCCGATCTCTGCGCGCGGGCTCAACGCTGGCAGCGCCCTCCGCCGCGCAGGCTTGGGTACCGCAGGCGCCGCCTTGGCCCGCTGCCTGGCAGGCCGCTGGCCGCTCTCCTCCGCGCCGCTGGCCCCAGGAAGCTGCTCGCAGCCCCAACATCGCAACAGCTCGAGCGCCCCCTCCTCGCTGATCGGGCGGATCAGGTTGACGTGCTCGACCGCCCGCCCTGCAGGCCCCGTCGCCCGGCAAGCCTTCGCCTGCACGGAGCATGCGTGCAGCAGGGTGTCTGCGGGCCGAGCTCCGTTCTCCCCGCGAGCCCGCGCGTGCCACTCGAAGAGCGCGTCCGAGGCCCCCAAGCTCTCGAACTCGAAGAGGAGGCCTTCCTGGTCGAGCGTCGGCCCCCCAACGACACGGACGATCTCGGAGCCCTGAGAGGCCCAGCTGGCGTCCAGCACCCCGACCTGCACGAGGTCGCCTGCCGCGAGCTCCAGCGCCTGCAGGGCCTCCGGCGCGAGCTCCGAGTTGACCCATAGCCCAGGCCGCGCCACGGGCACGGGCTCGTCTCCAGAGGCCATGCTCACTCCGCAGCCCGTCCGCCGAGCACGCGCCCGGCAGCCATGGCCTGCTGGTGCCCTGGAAGGCGCCGAAGGGGCTCCAGCAGAGGAACGGAGTTCCAAGGCTCAAACTCCTGAAAGCGGGCCCTGAGGGAGCACTTCACTGAGAGTGCGGGCGGACAGCCCCCCCAGGGCCCTCGGACACAAGATGACTATGGAGTCCACGGACGGCTGGCCGTTTATTTGGGCGTTTCCTGGTGCATAAACCACTCGGAGAGAGCACATATATGTATCCACTTTCGCCTCCGTGTGACCTCGTGACACAATTATCAAGAACCATCTCCCTATTGCCGCGTGAGTGAGCTATGCTGTGTGCTCGGGGCGGCCTTCTTCAGCTTCTCGTCGCTGAACTTGACCGTGGCGCGTCATGGCCGATCTGGCCGTCCATCGCGATGAGTATTAGCTCTCGGACCATGCTGCCTTGCTCACGGGGTCGGCCCTCATGACCCGAGTGTCGCGCAAATACGAGTCGTCGATCTGCTTGGTGCGCCGCTGGTCGGCTAACTGTCGCAGGTGGCCTGCGCGCCGTTGTCGGACGGCGGCTGGGCCGGGCCCAAGAGCAGGGCGCTGAAAAGAGACGTGCCGTCCATAGCGAGGTCAGCAAGAATCGCGTGACCTCCGGCCCCCCTCAGTCTCCTAACTCCTCGGCAGGGGCGGGGCCGCGCGCCCTCTCGCGCAGCCTGGGGGCGCGCGCCTACGGGCCGTCTGCAGCGCCGCATGCTGCGAGCAGCTCGGATCCGAATGGTGGTCTGCGCGCGAGCTTGCGCGAGCGGCTCACTGCGTCCAGCAGGTGGCGCGCCTGTCTTCCGGCGCATAGACACGGGCCCTCTCGCGCTGCGCTCTGACCCCCCCCCCTCTTGAAGGACGGTCGCTGTGCGCGCTGAGTCGCCCAGCGCACTCCACTGATGGAAGTGCAACGCGTGCTCTGATATACTGCGTGGCCAGAACGGCGGAATTGAGCTGCGTCGCGCGTCGGATGAGCAGCTGGTTCTCGGCTCTGCGCAGGGCGACGGCGCGCGCTGCGACGCGGCTCTGGGCGAGCAGGGCGTAGGCCGCTGCTCTGGGGTGGAACGTGGACGTCGGGCAGCTGACCTCCGGCCTGCTCGTCAGCCTTGCCCTTGGCCAGGTCCGCGTGTCTGATCGGTATCAGAGCGTCGACGTGCTCGTCCTGAACGAGCGTCGCGGTGCCATCGGCGCCGCGGTGCTGGCGCACTCCAGTCGGCGAAACAGTCGTCGTTGCCATTCATCTTGCCGAAGACGCTCTCGATGATAGGGGGGAAACAAACCCACCTCGCTTTTGACCACCCTCGCTTTCGAGAGATACCAAACGATGCCAAATTGCAGCATGCCGCTTGACGAGGAGGCGCGTGGCATGGCTTGGTTTTGCCTGGAAGCGAAAACGGGGTAGGTAATTCACGCTCTGAGATGAGGCTGGCTGGTCAGCCGGTCGACGTGCTCCCTGGCCCCGGCGATCTTCATATCATCAATGCGCTTGGACAACATGAGCACTAGCTCCGAGGCGCCAGCAGCGCAGCTGCCGGACGTCGCGCGCATGGCCGGCAACTCCGTTCCCCGCCCGGCAGGTCGGGCGCCGCGCTCAGGTGAGCGCGTGACCCGGGCGAGCTTCGTGGAGAAGGCTCGGGGCGCATCCTTGCGGCGAGAAACCTCGGGGCGCATCTTTGCGGCCCGTGCCCGGCCTGATGCGGCGCAGGCACTCGGTCCGCGCGTCGAGACTCTCGCGACCGGGCGCCTGCCCGAGGATGGCCGCGCTGCCGGGCGGCGCGGTGGAGTTCGCCTCTCGAGGTGCTTCGCCGTGCGCCTGCACCTCTGCATTTGTCGTGCCTTGCAGAAATGCCCCCTCGACGTCAATGGCGACGCGCGCCTGGTCGGGGTGGCGCCCCGCCTCAGAAATAGCGGGCTCTGGGATGCCCGCTTCGCTGTCCCAGCGAACGTCTCCGAGGCTCGGGCGCACATGTCGCAGAAGTCCCTCAGCGCCGTGCGGCACGCGATGATCCCGGCAATCATGCCGTCTGATCCCTTCTGGTGCTTCCACTTGGAGATGCGTCTGGAATCCGCTGCGTCTCGGGCGCCTTTGAGCGGCCGCCTCTCGAAACGCATGGCCCCTGGCCGAGATGGTGAGCTCCGAGGATGGCCGCTGTGCCCTCCCTCGACAGCATCGACGCTTCCTCGTAGGACAGAAAGTCGGCGTCGCGCTAGATGACCTCGGTCTTTACGGCGGCATCAATGTCAAGCGCAGCTGTCTGAGGGGCGTCGGCGGCGTAGTCGCCAAACGCAGCCTCGTTGAAGGTCAGGGGTGCTTCGCGCACCCGTGTGCCAAGATACGACTCCACATGTCGTCCAATGAGGCCCCGCGCATGTACTGGTGGCGCTGCGCGTGGATGCTCTGGCGCCGGTGCTGCGTCTCGAGGTGCCGGGGCCACTCGCGTGGCTCGTGGGCTAGGTCGGCCGCGGCGTGCTCGACGGCAGCGGGGGTCTCGCGCTGGCTGTCGGCGCTCTCCAGCTCCTCCAGCTCCTGGGTCAGATTTTCTGCCCCCTCAATTTCGCGCCAAGCTGTCAACGTCACCTGTTGGATGTGGCCAAAGAAATCGCTGCTTGTCTCCTCTGGTATAGCCGACATGGCTGATGGCGATCCGCCTTTGGCGGTGCTGGCCGCGTCCTCTGGAAAGGCGCAGTCATCGAGCGTTTCGTCCAGGTCCCGTTCGGCGTCTGTCACCACTGACGGCCCATTACATTTCCCAAAGCTTATGTGGATGATGCGAGCTGCCTTCCAATGCTCGCCGGTGGGCTGGCGGGTGTCGAACGCGACGCCGCTGAGGCGGATCTGCTGGACGTCGGTTTCCGAGGCGACCGCCAGACGGCTGGGCTGCGGGTTCATCCCGGCCAATTGCCCACAAGTTTCCGTCCGCGCATGAGTCGTGCAGCGCGAACGCCAAGTGATTAAAAACTTCTGCGGGACAAATGGCGCAGGGCTTCGTGGGCGTCGGGGCTTTGTCGTGCCTGCTCGGTGAGCTGCGCGTCCTTTGTGTCCTCCCAATGGCCGAAGGTCCTGGCCCCGGAGCCTGGCGCCATTTGCTCCAGGCTCCAGGTGGTCCTTTACTCGGTCCCAGGCCACCTGGCCTCGAACCGGGCCACAGGCTCGAGTATCCACGGGCCCGCCCAGCCTAACGCATCCTTGGTGCTTGGCAGCCTGCGGACCTCCACCTGGTCGCCCACGTTGAAGCGGCCCTCCCCGGACTCGGCGGCGCGGGCCCCGAGGGCGCGGCCGCGTGCGATCGATGTGGCTTCGATCATGCGTTGCAGGGCTATCTCTCGGATGCGCCACTGCAGACGGCTGGGCTGCACTTCCCGCCAGCGGGAGGCTCGGCATCAGCGACGCAGTCGCTGGATGCCTCGCCCTGTTCGTCTGCTTCGAGCGGCGCCAGCATGGGCGGCTGCCGCCCGAAGACGACGTCGCACGGCGTGGCGCTGCCCGCGTGGACGTGGCAAGCGCTGGCACAGATGGGACGTGCTAGCATGGGGTCGAAATTTGCCGTGGTGCCCTCGCGGTCAAGCTGCCCGTCCGCCCTGTGAAATGCTCGTCGTAGCATGGCCCCGCGCCGCTCGACGATGCGGGCGTGCTGGCGCGGAGCCGCGGAGCGCGTGTCAACCTGTACTCCTCTCCTCTTCGTCTCCTCCGCGAAGTGCGCCGAGGTCATGCCGCCCTCGCCGTCCAATATCAAAGTCTCCCTCGAGCCGAACAGCTGGATCCATGGGCGGTCGATGGCGGCAAGCAGCGTCGAGTCGTGCTTCGACGTGACCTCCTGACCATTATGCCACCGTGAGGCGCAATAGGTTAGGTGGATAATCATGCGATCCTGGTAGAGCAGGATGTCGCACTCGACGTGTCCTGTGGCATGGTGGCGACTCGTTGTGCCCGTGTCATCACCTCCATGGCGTCGTGCCACCACTGGAGGTGTAGCTTGCGAAGCCCCCGCATGCGTGTCTCATGCGAGTCACTGCGAAGCTCTCGTAAGGAGGTAATAACGTCGAGACGAGGTCCAGTCTGCGGGCGTTGGGTTGCTTGCAGCTGCGTCGGTAACTAACGTCGGCGCCTGGCACTGGACAAGCGCGGATCCCCGGTCGAGCGACGCAGTCGCTCGAACCTGGCTCCTGGCACTCCTGCGGGCGCGGGTGGTAGAGCAACCTCGTCTGTGGCTCCAAGGTCTGCGCCGCTTAGTAGCCGAACATGATGATCGTTGGAGTGATGTGGTCCTTCAGGTGGCGCTGGTGCTCGCGGGTGCTGGCGGGAGCGCGGGCGCGGCCAGACGTAATGATCCGCGAGCCTGCACTTGCCAAACTTGTGAAAGTGCGTGGGGCGATGGCGTCTCTCTACCTCGTGGCAGCTGGGGCGCTCCCAATGGATCGGCGCGCTGCGAGGGTAGCGGCGCGTTGCTGGATCCCTGGAACGCATGGGCGAGTCCACCCGCATGTTGCGCTTGCACGCCTTGCATGTGTGGCGCGCGCGCTCGGCTGCAACTTCGCGTCTGATCTCTCCCTCAGCGGCGCCGGTAGCCGCGGCGCCGGTAGCCGGGAAGGCTGCGGGTCGGACGCCGCAGACGGCGACGTGAGTCCACTATGCCCTGGGCCAGTCGCTCGGAGTCGCTCGGCCACCTTCCACGGCCAAATCTGGGCGTCGAAGCTGTCGTGGCCCTCGACGTGGAAGGGCGCGCGCTTGCCTGGGGCTCGAAGGTCGGGGAACGGCTCGGGAGCGTTGGAGACCAGCCCGGTGGTCTTCTTCAAGATGCCTCCGTGGCGATCCCGAAGCCCAAGATGGCGCCGGTGGAAGATGATCTTGTCCACGCGCGGTATTGGCAGCACTTCTGGCCAGGGCGGCTCAGCGCGCAGCCTGGATGATTCGGGCTGCTCGTTGACGAAGTAGCCGCCCAACTCGATCTGAAACT